TGATAGAATATCCAAGATACAAAACATGCTAAATTATTTTCCTGGAAAATTAAATAAATATTTAAGATTAGACATACCTAATCTGTCATAAGATGAACAAAAAGCAATATCTAATTTATTAAATGATAAAATCATAGTTATATCTAAGGCAGACAAAGGAAATGCCATTGTGATTTTAAATAGAGCAGATTATATTAATAAAGGCGAAGAAATATTTAACGATCCAAATGTTTTCAAAAAACTAACTATGAATGAAACAGACAAAGAAGAACAACAACTAATAAAATATCCTTTAACATTAAAAGCAGAAAACAATCTATTACTGAAGAAGAATACAAATGAATACGATCTAATGCAGGATCAAGAACACCTGAAGCTTATTTTTTAGTTAAATTACATAAGATAAATCAAGTAGTGAGACCATTTTTTTTCTGGCAACAATTCATGTTATTTATTATAATACAGCAAAGTACTTAACTAAATAATTAGTATCTGCTATGATTAGTAACAAATCTTGTATAAAAGATTCTTTTGAATTTGCAGAAAAAATCTAATAACATAAGTCGACACCAGGAATAATGTGCTCATTTGATGTATACTCACATTTTACCTTTATGTCATTAGATAGAGCTATTCAAATTGGAACTAAAACCAGTAAAAAGTACAATCCACAATTAAAAATAAACAACAAAGATTTTAGAGAACTATTTAATTATTGCACAAAATATTCTAATTTCACATTCAACAAAATAAATTATGACCAGATAAATGGAGTTAGCATGAGTAGTCCTCTTGCTCTTATCCTCACACATTTATTTATGAGTAACTTAGAAGAAAAAATACAATAATATCAATGCAAAGAAATTAGTTATTTATTAAAGATATGTTAATGATATCTTTATGTTAATGACTGGTACACAAAAAGATATTGTAAGATTTAATAAGCTTATGAGCGAACTAGAAAAAACTATTACATTTACAGTAAAGGTACAAGAGAATAATACATTACTGTTTCTTGATGTTATGATAGCAAAACAAAAGGAATTTTTAATAATATGTGTTTATCATAAACCTACTGATACCGGTTTATATATGAAGTGGACCAATAATCAACCAAAACGATATAAAATTCATGGGATTAAATGTTTAACATATCGAGGCGTAAGATTATGTTCATGAGATATATTATGGAAAAATGAATTAGATAACTATTAAAAAAAACATTCATTGCTAATGATTATCCGCCATATGTAATTAGAAAGGCATGGAGAAGATTTAAATCGAATAAAAGTATTAGTACATAAAGGAAAATTGAACATCAAAATGCATTAAGAGTAATACGATATTCATGCTACGTGAACGCTACTTGGGAAACAAGCATCAAAATAACTGGAATTACAAAAGATTAAATACGAAAACTAACGATCTGAAACAAAAAATAAATAAAAGACAACTTGTTAATTGACATGGAACAAGAAAAAAACGCAGAAATATACACTCATAAAAAAGTTATTATTAAAATGTTTTTAGATGACTTGATGAGTCATTTTTGGGGGCCAGTGAAATTGTGCAAATTTATATAAGAAAATAAACCATTTTGTTTTCTTATTTCCTATCTTAAATGTACTTGATTTTTTATCTACTTTTTACGGTATAACATAACTTCTTTTTCTTATTTTGACTCATGGTGTTCACAGTGGTTAACAAAACGTTTCATAATTAAACAATAAACTGTATCATTCAGCAATTTTTTCTGTAACTTTTGTTATATTATAACTGGTAAAAAAATGATAATTCTCAGAAAAATGTTTGAAACTGTGCAAAAAATAGCTGGGGGTATCCTACCTAAACGGATACTCTCACATATACACTATATCGAAAAATTATTTGAACACTTACGATACCGATCTTGTAGAGCAAATCTTGCGACGAAGAAAAAATATTTTTTTGACTTTCATCATATCATTCGATAGATCGAAGCCTCTACGTTATTTGAAAAGCAAAAAAAGAATTTTTTTAAAAAGTTTTATCAACTTTGAAGGGTTTTTGACAAACCAGTTGATCTTCTACACCAAAAAATTATTTGAACACTTGTATTCTTCCTCGTATGGCGTCTTTATTTTGCAGCAAAATTTTTCGAATCATACCTCATTCGATAGAAAAAATGGTTTTCTACACGCCGGTATACTTTAAACATGGGAAAATATTGATAGTACCTCGAAAATCTCGAATTATATGAAGCTCTATTGGTTTTCCAGAGAGCCCTCTATTTTTTAGGTTTAATAAAATGAAAACTCGACTCAGCATATATCATTCGATAGAGGGAAAGCTGAATCGGATGGTATCCTTTACCTGAAAAAAATTTATTAAACAAAAGAGATTTGAATGGCTATAATTACAATCAGTTTCTTTTACAAGCCTTTCATTAATCTCAATTTTTCAGCAGAAAAATGTTGTCAATGTTGTTTTTTGAAAAGTATAGTCTTGTAGAGAATTAAATTTTCTTCAGAATCAACTACTTGAATAGATGCGAAGTACCTTCGCTAAAGGTGATGCGACCCTATCTTATCATGTGTAGGAAGAAAAAAAAATTTTTTTTCATTCCTCTAAGCATTATATGTAGTTGGTAACAGAACGAAAGAAAATTTTTCTTTCTTTCTTCACATCATAAGATAGAGTCTCATTATCTTTCGCGAAAGTACTTCGCATCTATTCAAGTAGGTGATTCTCAAGAGAATTTAATTCACTACAAGACTATATTTTTCACAAAACAATGTTGACCACATTTTTCTGCTGAAAAATTGAGATTAATGAAAGGCTTGTAAAAGAAACTAATTGTAATTAGCAATTCATACCTCTTTTGTTTAATAAATTTTTCAAGTAGAGGATACCATCCGATTCAGTTTTTTCTCCTGTCGAATGATATGTGTTGAGTCGATTTTTCATTTTATCAAACTCAAAATGGAGGGTTCTCTGAAAAACCGATAGGACATCATGTACTTCGAGATTTTCGAGGTCTTATGAATATTTTTTCCATTTTTAAAGTATTTTGGCGTATAGAAAACTATTTTTTCTATCGAATAAGATATGATTCGAAATATTTTTTGCTGTAAAATAAAGGCGCGATACGAGGAAGAGTATAAATGTTCAAATAATATTTGAGATAGTGTATATATCATTAGGAAGAAATAAAATGACAGCTTTCTCACCTATTAGTACTTAATTAAAAGAATTTCACCATATAATAAAAGTGTCAACTGGGTTATAAATCATTTTGTATATGTAAGAGTAGAACAGAAAAAGATTATGAAGACATTGATGATAGTATAAACATGTTATCATATTACTATTCTGAAGTCTACGTCAACAAATTCGTTCCATAAATGTTTAATTAGGACGCATCTTTCGATGACATAAAACGGTAAAACATAATTAATGTATGAGATTCTCTCAAAAACGAAATTTTCCCATCACATATTGAGATTATGTATGGCTATAAAAGATGATACGATATGAAGTGTTCTATGATTCATCTAATATGTTTACTTTTTACAAACACTTCAGGATAAAAATGTTTGATGCTAAAACAAAGCTTCTATATTATTCCTTATTAATATTACTGGTATTATCATTATTGATCCAAGTGAATGACCCAGTTATCGATGTAGATGGTAACGTGCAGCATTTAGTATTTAGTTCATGGATATATTCCGGATGAAATCATAGTGTCGAATTATTCAACACAGCGCAGACTTAGCTAAAATTAAGACATGGAAAAAGTACAAGTGTCACGAGCTTGGTGAATACAATACCTACACTCACACACTTTCCACTTTCTCTAATGAGTTTTAGTACTTGTTTCAATTTTACAAATACTTATCAGCACTTTTCACCAATGAAGCATTTTAAATTAATTTTTATTATGCGTGTCCCATAATAAATGGCCGGCTTTTGTATTCCTTTGTTTTATCATCTAGTACGTTTGTTTTAAAAAACAAAGTATACCATAAGATGCAGCGTGAAGAGCTCTACAATTTACAAAAGAAGAGTTTATTTTATATATATGAACCTTTTGTTTTTTAAATAGACAGAATTCTATGCGACCAATTTTGGACGCTATGAGTAAGGTCATTCAATAATACACAATGGATTCCTTTTCTAATGTCATCAGTTAATGTATCATAGTCTTTAACTTTATTCCATTGCATATTATTATTAATTGCATCCCACACAGAATAGTCTAAAACATTGAGGTCAGAGCAGTTGGGTGACCATCTGTTATTGTCTATAAAATGCATAGAATTTTCTTGAAACCACGCTGACGATTCCTGATGTGTATACGATCTAGCGTTGTCTTGTTGGAAGATGAAATCGTCATCTAGCAATCGTTCACCTTCAGACTGCGCATGTGGAATAACAACATTAATATAATTCTCGCTGTGTTAATATTTCGCCAGGTTTAAAAATAGTGGGAGACGTAAGACCATTTTTACATGCACCTAACCATACCAAAATGTTTTTTGGATATTTAGTCTTTTCTTGTATGTCCCCTTGCTCGTCTACTTCTTGTCGTCTCACAGCATATATGCGGTCATTTTGACGATTAAATACGCCTTCTAATGAGAAATATTTTTCGTCAGTAAATAAAATCTTATCCTGATCTGCTTTTCTCAATGATCTTCGCATCCAATGCGCAAAAAACACTCTTCGTTTTTTGTCATCATTGCTTAACTTTGATTGAATTTTAATGCGATAAGCACGTAAACGAAGATCATCTTTAATGATGCAAGGCATTGTTTCTCGTAGAACGCCAAACGATTTAGCTAATTTTCTTACACTTTGAGGGCGGTTTTCAACGAACCGCTATTTTACCTTGTGTATAAGAGTTTGTGTTCGCACAATTCTAGATCTGCCAGGAGATTTTTTAAAATAGATTTAACCTGTTTCTTTGTATAAATTTTGCCATCGTCTAGCCCTACCTTCGCTAACCAAATAATACTTCATACATTGAAATGCATATCTGGACCAGTGTCACACCACAAGAATTGATCTAGACGAACAGTTTTGGTTAAGGATGTGGGAATAGATTCAAAACTTGGATCATTTGGTGCTACTATAACATGTTTAGACTGACGAAGCATTCTAATTCGACGTTTTATGTTATCACGTGAAGATAAACGAGAGATACCTTGATCAGTCATATCTACATATACATAGGCCAACATTTATCAATACAAGGCTTTTCCATAAGTTGTGTATTTTTACCTTTGTAACAATCAGTAACAATTAAATCTGGTGCTTCTTGAGTAAAACGAGCACGTTGAACAATTCTTTCATCAAACTTTCGTTGTTCAAATGATATACCATCAGATTTACATGTACGTTCTGTTGGTGTTTTAATAATATTATTCGTAATAACAAATGTATGACGCCGAGAACGACATCGATGTGTTGAGTATTTTATACAACGCCAGTACGTTTTTTCATTAGTAGATCGATCTTTTATATATGAGTAACCATCGAGATCTAAACGTGATTTTTGTTTTGTTGTTCCATTATTGGAAATAGTTGCCATGTTGAAAAATTGCCAATGCGAGAAAACAAGTGTTCCGTCATTATTTTATACTAGCGATTAATTTTCTTATTCTCTATTCATTAAGTGTTGCTGATTAAAATAAATTGAAGCAAATTAATATCTTTCATGTTTATAATTTCGTGTTTGATCTTATTTCAATACATTTATATCTCTCTGATTGTTATCCTCATATATTTGTTAATATTCATTTTTTTCGTGCTTAACTTTCCAGTTCCAAAAAATAACAACAACAGAAGGCTTCTCAAAATTTTTCATTGTAGACATCATACATAGACGGTCAATACTTTAAAATTCGAATATCTCAGTTCAGATACCCCATAAGTACGTCATATTTTAAATTTGTTAGTTTGCCAGTGACACTTTTAATTTGACTCGAATATGTTCAATGTCCTTGAATTTCATTGCACAGCCTTCCATTGTGAATAAAGCAAGTTGACTTAAGTATACTAGGTAAAGGAAAGATAAAGTGACACTCTTAATTCTCATTTCACTCTCATCCACGCGGAAATCATGCTTCCACACTGCATTCATACCAAAACACTCGGATTTCTTTTCTTCTCTTTCAGACGAAACTGTATATTAATTATTTCTTCTGTTGACATAAATGGAGAACGAAAGGAAAGAGAACTACGAAACTCAAAAAAAAAAATCATTCACTGTAACAAATGATGCACGGAGCGGCATAAGCAAACAATATTTTTTACATATAAATTTCTGCACGCTTTTCTTAATAGCCAGTTTGCACTCATCTACTTTCGATTACAACTTTTTCGATTAGGTAAGTGTGTATCAGAATTTCACTAATTACCTGTTGATTAGTGATAACCTCATTGACATTTAATATGTTGATAGCAATATTAATTGCGTCGAACCAATTTGTTGCAAAATCGATACCAAGGATGTTTCTTAAGAAATCTCAGGATTCCATCGGCAATCATTTCATGCGAATAATACAAAATTTTACCTTCTTAGTGTCCTTGAGCATTCTTGAGCATGTAGGGTTTAGCTAACAATACCCACCTCTAACAATATAGTGGTCTACGCACCTAGGGATACTGTCAAATATGTATACCCATTCTGGCATACATCGGTACTCACAGTGAGATTCAAGTTCTGAAGACCCTACCCTCAGACAAGATCACAAAAGAGTTCACACTCGAACCAAGTACAAGCAACATTTTCAGTTGTACCATGTCTAAAAAGTGTTTGATATTTGCTTAGATCCGATAAAGTTTTCATGGCGCTCAACATTTCGGTTCTTTTGTTAAAACCATCAGCAACATGATGTCAGATTGAGATAGCAATCAAAATCCAATGTATTCATTGCTTCAACTGTAACCAAGCTGAATCGATTTGACAATGCTGTCTTTTTTCTTGAGTCAACAATCGACTTCTATGAGTAAACCTTCCAACGCCGTAACGTATTTTTATAAGTAAATCTTTTCATGTTTTAATAACAACAGGTTTTCAAATGATTGTCTAAGTAGTCGTACTCAGTCTGAGAAGATTAAGAAAAATCGCCTTTCTGATGCATCTGTCTTAATTTGGCGATTTCTCGCATTAACAAGCAACATAGATCGATTTTAAGAGCCGCTCGCAGCACCTTGAATAAGGGGTACAAAACTACTGCTTCGTTCAAGCTTGTTGACTTAAGAATCGACATACTTGTTGATCGGTAGTGAAGCACTCGTCGACATTGTGAGCCACATAGATCTGCACACTATTCAACGTACAGTTCTTTCCAAAAGTCCTTGTTATTAAGTTTTGATTCAACTTGAATTTCATGCATTTAATTATTGGTTATATTTTTTCCCTCGTAACTAAAACTAACTTCTCTACCATGTAGTATTCTTTGACTTTATGATACGTTGACGTACACAATGCTGAGTCTTACAGGATAGACAGATTCGGGTGTGTGTGTGGCTGAGGCTGTGGACATAGTTGTAGATCTTCTCTTGAACCACAGAGTCATACCCACACCCACATTCAGTGTTATGAGAGCACGATATTTTCGTCTTGTAGCACTGGAAATGATCCGAAGAAGTAAAATGATAAATGAACTCAAACAGGTGAAGTGCATCGTTGTTCGTTCCAAACAATGGATTGCATCTGATCTACAGTCAAGTCATAAATCACATCTCCATAACTGAGAAGTCAACACATTATGAAGAAAGATAGTAGGTAGGTCATGGTCTCATGTCCACTTGAGATTCATCACTTTGCAAAGCTGCTTCATTCCTTTACGAATATCTATTATTTCTAGAACCCTCCACCCTGCTGAACTCTGACTTAGCAGAAGCTCTTCACGAATTGATAACAAATTTCAAGCGACATATGGGCCAACTGACTAAATCATGAGAACGAAAAATTTGTAATTCAAAGTAGAACGTTTATTCTAATATGTTGAGCAAATAATGAAGAAAAGATTTCATGAAGTTTAGTGCCACAAGGTTATGAGCGAAACTCTGCTTAATTTTCGAGATCCATATCTCTTGAAGAAATTATATAAATGCGCAAGATTTTTAAAGCCAATATTACTCGCTGTACTCTAGGAATACGATAGGTATCAGTAGATTTGAAAAGCGCTTGTGCAATCATGGTTGACACCTATGCTAAGAGCTTAGGAGTTTTTTACGTAGATTCTCCATAGTGTACTCTACGTGAGAAAAATATGCATGATGTCTTAAGTAGTCGCAACCCCAGTAATAGAACAACTTTGTCTTATTAACTATCAATAGATCTTCTATAATACATTATCCTTTCTTGTTTGTTGTGTTTCATTCAGAGACAGAGTTGCCGCTATTCTACGTCGAAACTGGCAACTGTTCAGGTATCTACTGTCAAGTCATTGTTAACTGGCAATAGGAGTAACCAAAGTTAATGGTTAGTACTGGTTACTCTCAGTTCCTATTAGTCCGCAAAGATACTTTCTGGCCGCACGAACGTCTCGTTTCTGGTGTCTTCTAGATGTCTTTTGTTCAAAGATTGGCTTTAATAGGCAATGTTCATGGTATGGTTTCGAGCATCGTGAACAGTAGCAACTCGAATAGATTCGTCCATCTGTTTAATGGAATCATTATCCTGTGCATAATTTATATTGCTGCTGCCATTCTGACAAATCTGCAAAACACATATAACGATTGCAAAACATTTGATCAACACAATTTGAGCTCGGTAGCAATTCGAAACACTTCTGGTCCACCGTACCTAGCCTTTATCATATCTTCAACGTCTACACGCTTTAATTTCACAAAGACAAACTTGAACACGACATTACCGAACTACTTTGACATTAAAAAGAAACAGCCTGTCTCACAGAATGATTCGCGAATCAATGTTCATGCTCACACCGGATTTTTATCGCTTTTATTTACTTATGTGGACTTATGGAAGGAGATAGGAGCAAAACCGAATTCTGAGTTAGCAGACAATGATTGGATATTTCTGTTCGAAGATGACGTCAACATAGTCCATATTAAGGCCATAGAGGGATCTTATGGATCGATTTTTGTAAAATGGAATTATACAGATCCACGCCACTCGATAAGAGGTACGTAACAATGTTGTGCATTTCCGTGAGTGTGGACGTAGTTGTTATCGCTCACATCCATTTAGCCTCATGTTGTGCTGCTGGCCATCCGATGCGCCATGTATTAGATTAATCAGCTAGGTTTCCAATCGGTGCTTTCAAAATTGCTGAAGCTAGTGATTTGTAGGATATTACAGAGAAATAAAATATCTTAAAAAAACACAAATGAGACAGATTCTTCTTTTGGCAGCAGTCAGAGACCGAATCCAGCCGAATCGTTGTAGTTCTCTTAGGTTTCGGTCTCTGATTCGAATGTCTGACCAATTTTGAAATATTCATCGATTACTCGTTTGAAGTTTGGATCACGAAGAAGAACTTGAAAAGATCGAATTGAATGCTCGATCCATCGATCACAAATTTACTTCATTTTTTTTTCTTAGTGATAGATTTTATTATTGGAACTGTAGATTTCTCAGTTTGATAAGTAGACAATTTAGATCGGAAATGAGGATAAAGTAAAACTTGATCTAATAGTAATACAATAGGACATTTATGAGAATTGACATGAGTAGTGCTTGAATTAACTAACGATACGTTTTAAAACACTTTAGTCACGGTACAAAGGCAGGAATCACGGTGAATTCATCTTTAGCATTTAATTTTTGGACTGAAAAGCCTATTCTTATTGTCTTCCAACATGTAGCTGAAGCACGTTTGCTTCGATTTGAAATAACTTTAGAGCCCTTATTATCATAATTATTTTACTAGTTATTTAATGGCATCGGAAGTATAATTTGAAGATGAGTTCAGGATAGTTTGTGATGCCCAAATTTGAATTAACGTATTAGAAACATAAGAATCAGTTAACAAAATAGTACAATGAGAAGTAGAATTGAACACGTAACTTATAAGAGTATGAATATACAATATCGACGAGATATGATTGAAGAGGAAATTATAATAGGTGAACTACTTAAAGAATGATATAATATCTTTATGAAATTAGTTCTGGTTCGGTTCGATTCGACTTTGGTTTCTAGTAGCAGTCCTTTTGAGTTTCTTGATGTACTTGTGTAACTGCCAATGAGTATTATAAATTGTCTCAAAGAATGAGCGCAGAAAAGACTTCAGATTTGTATCATTGTTTCCAGTATTTAAGTCAAACATCGTACCGATAATGTCTACCAACATTATCCAACAAGAAAGCAGAATTTTTGTTTTTTATTTTAAAGGCTAGATCACCTATAATAGTCTGGTTCTCTTCATATCAGAGTTCATGACCTTTATTATATGAATGAACAACACAACTATTATATACTTTAGTGAGAAAAAATCGAAGAAAATAAATTTAATAATAAGAGAAAACTAAGTGTTGCATTTTATAGAGCAATATCAATTGTGAATAAAAACAATATACTTCCAACACTTTTCTGTGTCGGGTCCGACTTCTGTATGTTATTTTTGTATATCAATGAGTCTCAGTGTAGAAACACTTAAAAAAAAAGAATCGTTATACACTATGAGTAAAACTAAATTTTCTTTCTAACGGAGAAAGATATTCGCTTCATTTTGTGATGTATTACTGTATTATATGGCCTAATAAAATGAGTATCATTTTTGTGGCAAGCAGTTAAGTTCTATTCCAGTCATAGAATCAACAAAATTTAAGAGCGCTCTACTTACAACATGAACATCATTAAATATTTCTCTTTGATATCCAATTAACGTTATTCTAGTGAAGTATGTTCAAGGGAAATGCTATTGATTTCGATGTTGCTCTACAAAAAAACGAAGTGACTTGATACTCATGATCGACCATTTTCCATTCATTAAACTTCGTCTAAAACTGAAACCAAACGCATATTTTGAAAGAATTTGAAATTTCTACAATTCTAGCTAAAAAATAATTAAAAAAATGATAAATCTCTTAGATTAGAAAATTGAATTAGTCGGTCTCTAAATCTACATCGGGCACACTCCCGGTTTCTTCTATAATCTTATTTATGCATGGTTGAAGATATTTAAATTTTCTTAAACAGATATAGAATATCCAGAGAATCTCTTTCTTTGAAAAACTCGTATATTTTAAATCAAAATTTCTTACATGTGGTAAATATACAAGTTTTCTATCGCTGTAAACATCAGCAGCAAAAGACTAATCGTGGCCCCAACAATGGACAGATTTACATTTCCAATAAATGAATCCCTTTAGAATGAAACTTAGGATAGAATTTGATGTGAATTTTACAGTCGATTAACTGAAATATGACATGCAAAAAATTGTCATTTCTTTCGTGCAGTCTGAATTCTTTAGAAATTTACATCTGCTTAAGAAAATTTAAATATCTTCTTTGATAGATAAATTAGACAATACAAAAAGTCGTGTGCGTGCCTAATGTCGATTTGAAGATCGAACAATTCAATTTTCCAACATAAAAGATTTATTCAGCTGGTATAATGTTTTATACTATTTCTAATCATATATAGTACAACGCAGAAGCTAAATATTAGCAAAAGAAACCATCTGTCATAGCTTTCTTTGTCTGGAATTTCTAATATGAGCCTCCAAACCATTGTGTTTTTCAATCCTCTCCGAACGAAGCTACGATACAGTGTAATAATTGTATCGAACATCATTACCACTTTCGAGTGGTATGCTGTGAAACAAAATTCTATATTAAAATGAGTACAGAGGAGTTCGAAAAAACAACTTGCCATGATAATTTTGGAAAAATTCAAAAGATATACTGAGATTGCACCTTACTAAAATCTTGAAGCTGTGCATGGATCAACCTGATATTTTGCATGAATATACTAAAGATTATAAGTTATGATATGACGAAAAGTTTACTATGCTAGCTTATCTAGCTTTTGAATTATAATCAAAAGCAAAATTCTTCTTGTATGTTGGATAATTTTATAAATCACTGTATATCATTTATATAGTTATATTTCGCCATGTTTTGTATTCCACCATTATATTATTGTTTTAATCATCAGTCGACTCAAACGTAGTAGAGTTCTGATGAGGTGAGAGTTCAATAGACAGTTTGTGACAAAATTGACTTAACATATCTAGATTTTCATCTTTTTTCAAAAAGCTTTCTCTCTGACTCGAAGCTCGCGTTTCAAATAAAGCTCTCGTTTATTGAGCAATAGATTGCCCGTATACGACGAATGTCATTTTTTCGATAGGAATTATCGAACAAGGCCTAGAAATGGCGAAAGATGATGGTATTCTGTATCTTGGGACATGTGGACCAATATATGTGGAAAATCAAACCAACATTCAATATTCTGCCGACGGTTTATTTCAATTCTGTCGTGGCATACATTATTGTACGCATGCAATAGCTTACACTAAATGGCGATCAAGAACAATATGGGGTGAATTCGCCTCATATACGTTCTCGCAAAACATAGCCGGTATTGATTTAATAGCTCGTGAATGGCAGCGTCGCTCGAAAACTTTTCCACGATGTGCCGCTGCTAATATACAATGGCCAAATGGCGAAGGTCATTACGGATTATTCTTCCAAGATAGACGCGCATTTTGGTCAACAATGGGATAAAATGTTATCTTAATGACACTTAAATGACTGAGTCACGTAACCTCTTCCTTAAGATTGATCAAAAGTTCTGGCAAAATTATAGTACTAATATAAAAATAAAGAGATACTATTAATTTAATTTTATTAAATGTTCAAGATAGTTGTCCTGATTATTTATACAAAGTCGAATTCTTTTTAACAATTAATTAAAAGTTTTTCTTTTTTTATTCTTCTTCTGAAATATTTTTATCTACTTCGGAAACCGCATGAGCAAATCATAGTTCATTTATTTAATCAGTTAAACTGCATTTGATATAATTACTTAGCCAAACTTTACGAAGTATCAGGTCTGGCGAATATAGCGTAAATGATATTATATTGGTGCCTTCTTCTGTTAAATAATCAATAATATCGGATGAGTATGAAATCAATTATGATCATCCAGCAATTTAGTACTTTTTGCACACTATGTCTCTTTTTATTTTAATATCTCGTTAAGGCAAGGCTTCAGACAATTGTCGACATAACAGTTGTAATCTATAGTCTTGCCTTTATCTACATGATATATATAAGAACAGGATCATTTCATTTAAAGAATATAGAAGATGGAGTTTTTTAGTTCAAAATTATTCTTGTCAACAATATTCGTTGGCAAGCCATCTTCACTAATTCAGCTAGCATTAGTTCATGTACAGACAATTGGTCTATAGTAAATCTGTCTGATAGACTGTAATAAAATTGCATAGCCTTCATGATCCACTACGAAATATTGCTAAATTTCCACGACATGTTCTACATCAATTTTTATTTTTATTCATTATTGATTTCACGAGCCACTCAACATGAGGTGACTTTTTCTCATGATTAGAAAATCATGAATAATTCGTTCTATTGTGCTATAAGAGAGAAGAGTCTCAGCTATGGTATCATCATACGTTGAATTTGAATTAATGTTGATAAACTGTTGTACCAGTTTAATATTTACATTCATAAGCTCTGAAACAGGACGACCAAATCGATATTCATCATGAGAGTATGGGTGTGGGTGAAGGAACAGATGAAGAAAAGATTAATACCCACACTGCTGATGAAATCGGCAGTATTATTCTAGAATATCGAGAAAACTGATCATGATGGACTATGACAACAAAAGATGACGATGAATGTATTATTTTAAATGATGTAAGAAATTGATTAACTAGATGATTGATTTTTTTTAATAGAAAATTCGATCAATAAACAATAAAAGACTACAATTTATTTTTTAATATACAAAGTTTATTGTTCTAAAAGGTTTACAAGTGATACAACAGTGATATGTGATTTGCTTTTAGTTAAAGAGTTGTCTAACATTAAATATATAATATAAGAAGAAATAAGTTGATACCGGACAATGTAGTATACATATATATAATATTGTTTATAGTTTTAAGAATTTCATCTATTGCAATGTTATGACTAATCTCTTATAAATAAAAAATCAAGATAATGAGTAAACCTTGAACATTAAATCAAATCTATATTCTTTTTTTTTCAATGAAATGTATGAGAAGACACATGAAATTGTTCATTGTACAACTAAAATAAATATATGAATCTTCATTATACAGTTCAACTGCTATATTGAATTTATTAGAAAGCTATTCAAGGTTGTCAGAATCAACATAAGTTCCGTTTCGGTAAAGTCTAATTAACGAATTCTGTTTGAAACTATAATTTTGTTTTATCAAAATTTTTGAGTTTCTACAGTATAGCATATGCATTATCTATCATCAGGATACATCTTGAATGAGTTAGTTTCGTAAAAAAAAATATGAGAGAAACCAGTATATATATGAATGAAAAGATTTCATTGTTATTTAAGTGCTCCTCTATACAAAAGAATTCTAAATGATCTAATACTACTATAGTTATTCCATCATCAAAATGTTTTGTGTGAGTTAGCGATGCATTCTCCTAGTCGTTTTGCATATGCATTAATTGATAGCAATGCATGAAAAAAAAATCAAAATATCGAAGAAAATGCCGCTTTACATTGTTTCGCCTTTTTCTCAAAATTAACATTTTTTAGAGAAAAGTTGAAGTTTACCTCTTTTTTCTCACAATCGCTTCGATCGATTGAGCTAAATTTTTTTTTGTTTCAAACTTTTCTCATTAACATCTAAATATATTCGATCGACTAATGAAATTAATTAGATTTCAAAAAAAAAGTCAAGATTTCAACATTTTCCTAATCTACTTTTTCTACTTCAACCAAATTTATTTCGACGTTTCTATATATTTATTCTGTCTTCGTTTCTCTCGTTTCCTTATAATGGAGGTTCCTAGATAGGAATTATCATTGAATTTTATATTAAGCGAAAGCTCGTTCAAAATGGAATTTAGCAATATAACTAGCACTTCATAGAATAATCATGAATTGCAGGAGTTATGGGAGTGTTTTTTTGTGTGTAATTTATTTATTTACTGAAAATTTATTGGAATTTGTTAATTGTGATGATATTTCAATACACTCACACTTCATGCATACATGTATACATTGATAAATTGAATGAGATTTATCGCAAAATATCTAGAAGCTTACTGAAAAATTTCAAAAAAAAAAATAAGTCTTGGTAGCTAATGATGAACTAGAGAAACTAATTTTCTCCTATCATATTTTATAGAGTTCTTTTTGTCGATTATTTTGATAGAAAAAATTAAGTATTTTAATTTTGATAACATCTATTCATTTTTTGTGGTAGATTACGCATGGAAATTCTCAATTATATGCTTGAAATTTTCGTTAATTCTCCAGTGCATAATTATTCTATGAAAAGCTAAATCCTTTTTCGGACGATCTTACATTTAATAGAAAACCTATTGTTGACATGCTTTGTATTTGAAACCCTGGTGTTCCTCAAATTATTGTTTCCTACGTATTCCAGTCGAACAACTTGCTGGATCGTGATGATGTAATCGTTCATTGATCGCGAAGTAATGATATATGAAATATCAGGATAGAATATCGTTTAATGAGCGTTTCAACAAACAATCTTGAATAAGGATTGCGCTTGCCCATCTTCTCTTAACAAAAAAAAGAAAGTTACTTATTTAAATTCATTGTTTTTAATTTATTTATTTATTCAAATAATACTTACTCTGAAACTCGTTGTTGATATAAATCTAAATAAAATCAAATATAATGTAACATGTTGAACTCAAATGTAAGTCTTGATTGATATGTACATCTCAACTTGCGACTAAGTTACGATCGTACACAACCGTACTTTTTCGATCTAGAAGGAAATTTTGCTCATACACTCCATTCTATAAAATATATTGACTCATAAACAGAATAATTTGACATGTTATACCATGACCTTGACGAAATGTTTTGCTATTAGGAGAATTCTTGAGAGCAACACACGTTTTATTATATGTGACTTCTTCATAAAAAAAAACGCCGTCATGTTTCAATGTTTATTTTTGTTTATGAATACGAAAAATAAATGAAATTTTAAAAGAAATATTAAGAGAGAAAGAAAACTTAACAAAAACTGATAATCAACAATGAAATGAACATTTTAAGAAAATTTATGTAGATTAATATTTTTATGTGTCATGATGACGAGATGATTATTGCCTAGTAGAACGGCATGAATAGGTGAAGATTCATATTGACTTTTTTTGATGATTTTTCCATCTTTTGAAATATGCAGAAGTTCCGAATCATATGGATTCATCATCATCCATTCATTATTACTTAACATACAACACCGACCTGCGCACAATCCAGCCATTTCATTGAATTCAATCGACCATTTTCGTTGAAATGTTGTTGATGAGCATAAATCTAAGCGTACTTTCTTTTCCCTATTTGCAATGATCATAGCCAACAGATTTTTATTTGATGATAAATCTTGAATTCTTTCATCTTCTTTGAAAAACATGGGTGATCGATACTCTTTGATTAATTGAATCGATGGTAGAAGAGTATACTTGTACATACATGGATCGACACCTTGGACTGAGAGAAACAAATAATCACTTGTACACGTACCGCAAGACCAACTCTTCATGCGTCTATTCCAAGGAATTGGCAATTGATTGATGGTCATTGAATTTTCATCGAGAATGAAAATATTTTCAAAACATATTATAATAAACTGAGAGAGTCGTTTTGACCAGAACATATCGACAATAACAGAATGAGTCCAATTAGTTTCTTTAACGACATTCAATTGTTTATCAAATATGCACAGTTTCGAATCGTTTTTCACCAAAAGAAAATTATCCTTAGCAGCGAGAGAATACCAATTATTTTTCAGTTCAATTGACCGTTGTGGAGAAGATAAAGGTAATAGATCATTGTAACTTGATATTTGTTGATAAAAAGCAACGAGATCATTATCGATGACTAATGGATGCAGAATCAAATGAGAAGATTGAAATTGATCTATTTGATGTTGAAGTAATTGAATTGAGTCACCAATCGAATCAATGAAGTTCTCCGTTACTTCTTGTTCTGAAATGAATTGAGTAACTTGATCTCGTAATCGAGCGAGTTCAGTTGTTTGTTGATTTCGTTCTTTGTGAGAAATCTCTTCAAATTCTTGTTTCTTCTTTTCACAAAATTTGTCAATTTTCCGATGTACTTCTTGACACCATTGGTCAAGTTCAGTAAGAAAAACTGATTGAGGCATCGACGAGTTTTTAACTTGATCGAATAATCTATTAATTACATCAGTTAACTGTAAACATTGAGTGATGAGTGAATCCGAATGTTTATTCAGATGAACGATACAAAAATCTTGTTCACAACCAATACAGAGAACGCTGGCAGCTCGTTTACAAGAATCAGTAGTACATATGCGTGAAGATATCATTATGACTAACTTACAAACAAGAAAGACAATACATGTATATATGGCAAGCCGGAACAAAGTATGGAGAAAATAATCATTTGTTGCTCGTCTTTGTCTTTTCTATCTTATGACCGATGCTTTGTTTTCAATATATGCTCATGTTCTATTTCGAATATATTCGACCGTCGATTTGAAGTCATCCAGTGACGTTTTCGCTTACACTCTGTAAGAGAATATTAGTTCGTCTTTGTTTTCATGAGCATATGACACAAACAAAGAAGAAAATTTGATACATGATCATATATAATCGATCGAATTAGCATGGTAACCTACGTATATGTTGTCCTTCTGGATAACTATTATCAATAGTTTGAAAGAAAAAACCATCATAAGAAAAAAAATAAGTGAATAGAAATTGGAATGAAAATGCATATGTTTCCTATTTGAGTCAGTATAAAATCATGCATAATCTGATACGAGATTCAGCTGATCAATCAATGCACTGTCGTTTCGATTTATTAGCCTTGTCAAACTATTTTACTGATTGTCAAAATCAAGCTTAATGATATCATGTGAGACACACGAAGAAGAACCATATCCTCAGACCCATCTATCCTCTATTTTAAAGTTTCTTCTGTACCAAGAAAATTTTTTCTTCTCCAATTTCTCTATGCGATTTATCTTCGAAATGCTACACAACGATATCCTTATACGCATAGAAAAATTACACTTCTCCATAAAGCAAAATAACTCCATTAGGATCTACTATTTTCTTACTATTCTCTATAGAATGGATTTAAAAACCAAGCTAGCATCTCTGATCACTGCTGTCTATAGAACAGTATTGAAAAAGTGTGATTCCAACAATTTTCCATTTCATTAAGAGGAAACCTATTGTCAGTTTGAATTACAATAACAAAGGCTATATTTTGTCCTTCCATTCTGTCGTCTCATTTCAGCACCTATTTCTGGTTAGCGACTACACTGACAGCAATGCAGTTTGATCTATTTATATTTCTAGATGTGCATGATAAATAGACTTAATATTTTCAAATTGTCTTATGCTGCAACTCGAAACGAAGGTCATAGGCTATCAGTGTTAAGAAGTTGGTTAAGATGAACTCAAAATAAAGAGCCAACGATTTCTTAGAGATAGAAAAGAATGCGATGAGGATAGACTATCCATCTTTTTTGACAAAAGTTTCAAAAGAGAATAGGGTGACAATAGAACATCGCCAAAGAAAGTGTTCATCGGTGTCAAGAATAGTAGCATATATGAAGTATTGATGCGTGAAATGTATCATCAGTTCTAAGAAAAGAACTCTAAATACTACGGAAAAGACGTCAGAAATACCATTTAATTATAGATAGAACGTCGACTACTAACGCAAGTGATACTGCCACAAAACATCATTGTTGAATGAGAAATGATCGTTTTTCTATCAAGAATTTCTTCATATATTATCGGAATTTTTGAAACTTTAAGAGTTACGCTAGACATAGATGTTTTTCAGAAAGTTAGGTACACGGTGATTTCAATGGACAAGACAGATTACTATTGAACTTTTGTACGAGTCATAGTTTGTCGACACCAGATACCGTTTTGCATAATAAAGTTATTGACAAGAATATTCAGTGTATAAGACCGGTGAGACTCGATGTCTGTACCTGTCAAATAATTATCGTATCTTTTTAGAGATATGGATTGGTAGATTGATGATAATTGAAACTGATGTTCTTAGGAGAAGATCAAGACTCAAGAGATTCAATTAGTTCTCTTAAATAAAAGATTGCTAACATTTATAATGAAATGGAATCCAAACCTTAATCCCAAGAAAATTCATATTTAATACAAAGAAAAATAATCAAACATATATCAGGTCTTGTTTGTTAATAAAGAACTATTGCAGTAGCTTGAAGTTTTTAGTGCAAAAGAGCAAAAGTTGGTAGAATACGAACAATAGTTACATTTATAGGTAACATTCAATTTGTTTATGTAAGATTTTTATAAAGAATAGTTTCAACGTAAGGTATACTATTTTTTCGTCCAAGAGCACGGTAACTGTGTAAAACTCAGATATGATAAAGATGAATGAAGTTAATAAAGAAGTATTTTTCAATAACTAAAAGAACGGTCTGTATAAAAAGCCGTTACAGTATGTGTTTTATACACTGAAAATTATAAAACTATTGAGAGTCATTTCAATAAAAGTAATCTATTTACATAGAAAAATATGTTTCAACCAGAGGTCCAACCAGGCCGTGTTTTTCAGGCCTGTACGGCCTGTCAAAGCCTGATACGCTTTTCAAGCATATACGATAATGATAAAATACTGGAAACGAGATGTGCAAACAAGGCACTAAA